ACAGGCGTGAGCCACCCTGCCTGGCCGGTTCTAGTTTTCTACTTGCGTTCATATTTTATTATTTTATTGCTTATGTTTTCATTGTAAAGCCACTGTAAATTCTTTGTAGGTCCTGCTAGGCAGACAATTAACAAATATCCAAATGACTAAATGAAAGCCACTAAAATGCACATGCTTCTCAGAGCAAACACTATCAAAGCATTACTTCTCTGATGGCCACTTCCACCTGGTGGAAGGGAAACAGTACTGGGTACCTGGGGGCAGGTGTTTGTCCTCAAAGAAGTTGTTCTAAGACCTAGAGTCATGGGTCTCCCTCATGATCCTTTTCATTCATGTCTCTACTCAGTCTTGGGGGATTCACTGATGGAGTGAGAACTGAGTTTAAGATGTGGCTTTACTTTAGGGCTGAAACCAGCAACAGAGGACTACAGGGTATCTGTTTGGAGATTGTGAAATAAACGTAACTCTTTCATTTCTCAATGAAGACATAAAGATCTGCAAAGACTAGTCCTTCTGAATACCCCTTCCTATGTGAAAACCATGCCCTGCTGTCATGGGAATTTGTGGGAATGGTCTATGGGGATTGACTCCAACTCTGAAGTTTCACTAGTGCTAAAAAGGTGTAAGGGATGCCTCTTACATTTAGTTGACTTAAGATACTTAAATTTTTAAAAAATTTTTGTGGGTACATAGTAGGTATATATATTTATGGGGTACATGAAAATTTTTTTTTTTTTTTTTGAGATGGAGTTTCTCTTTGTTCCCCAGGCTGGAGTGTAGGGGTGTGATCTCGGCTCACTGCAATGTCTGCCTCCCCAGTTCAAGTGATTGTCTTGCCTCAGCCTCATGAGTAGCTGAGATTACAGGTGTACACCACCAGGTCTGGCTAATTTTTCTGTATTCTTAGTAGAAATGGAGGTTTCACCATGTTGCTCAGGCTGGTCTCGAACTCCTGACCCCAAATGATCCGCCTATCTCAGCCTCCTAAAGTCCTGGGATTACAGGCGTGAGCCACTGTGCCTGGCCCATGAAATGTTTTGATACAGGCATGCAATGTGAAATAAGCACATCATGGAGAATAGGGTATCCGTTTCCTCAAGCATTTATTCTTTGAGTTACAAACAATCCATGCCACTCCAAGTTATTTTATCTTTTTTATTATTTATTTATTTTAGAGCAAGACAGAGCAGAGTCTTGCTCTGTTGCCCAGGTTGGAGTGCAACGATGTGATCTCGGCTCACTGAAACCTCAGCTCACTGCAACCTCGGCTCACTGCAACCTCTGCCTCCAGGGTTCAAGCAATTCTCCTGCCTCAGCCTCCTGAGTAGCTGGCATTACAGGCGCGTGCCACCACACCCAGCTAATTTTTGTAATTTTAGTAGAGAGGCGTTTCACCATGTTGGCCAGGCTGGTCTCAAACTCCTGACCTCAGGTGATCCACCCACCTCGGTCTCCCAAAATGCTGGGATTACAGGCGTGAGCCACCCCGCCCAGCCTCTAAGTTATTTAAAAATATACAATTAAGTTATTATTGACTACGGTCACCCGGTTGTGCTATCAAATAGTAGGTCTTATTCATTATTTCTATCTTTTTTGTAACCATTAACCATTTCCACCTCTCCCCAGCCCCCCACTACTGTTCCCAGCCTCTGGTAACCATCCTTCTACTTTCCATCTTTATGAATTTAATTGTTTTAATTTCTAGCTCCCACAAAATAAGTGAGAACATCTGATGTTTGTCTTTCTGTGCCTGGCTTATTTCACACAGCATAATGATAGATTCTTTCTTTGTCACCTTCCCTTACATCATTACCATCATCACTACCCCAGGTTCTCATAACAGATACAGGTATCAAATTTCTGCGCACACCATAAGAAACTTAAATATCTATCCTATATTACGTGTTTTCCAATCACTTGATCAGTGTTAATTCAAACAGTAGCTCAGGGACCATGGTCTCTCAATTAAGAGACAGTAGACACACCTCAAAACTAGATTACCAAGTCTTCGGGATGAACTCCAAATGCCTTAGCCTGGCATTCCAGACCCTCCCAGTGTGGATTCAACCTACCTCTTTACCTTGGTCCTGCGGTTCCCCACACCAGCCTCTGCTTACTCCACAAGCAGCCTGAGCAGGGGTTCTCAGTCACTCCCCACAATGCCTCTGACCATTACTCCTGCTTGGAACGTTCTTCTCCGTTTCCTTTATCACTCAAGGCACAACTCTCTGGCTTCCCCAACTGTTCCATCTGTAATCTCTCTCCTCTCTGATACATTTCCTGCACCACTTGTTTGTGATTTAATCATAGTTGCCTTTAATTATTATTTAGCTATTCAGAAGCTTCTCAAAGGCAGGGATCATATCGACTTTTCCTTGTTTCCTGTGTTCTCCACCTGGCAGTGCTATTCAGAGAAGGTGGTCACTACTGGTTGAGTGCATGACCACCCTAGAGGGCCAGAATTTAAGATACACATTTACTGGTTCTCGGTTAAAGCGGCTAGGCCAGCGCATCAAATTGGCAGGGTGTGGCGCGAGGGGAGTAGGCCCTGGGCGCCAGCATCCCGGGGTTCTTAAGGTGACTCGAATATCCCTACAGCAGTAGGGCCTAAACAGGGGTTCGACGCCACAGCAAGGAGGGTCAGGCGTGTGTGGCCTCGGTCTTTAAGAGTATCTTTTCCGCCGGCCTCTCTGCGTGAGTGGCGGTTTATGAGTTTTACCTGATCTGCATCCCTTTTCTGCAGGAGCACATGTCCTTGCGCAGGAAGAGGCTGTTCAGCGTGACCGCCCCGATCAAGAAGAAGAGCTGCTTCACCGCCTGCCTCACAAGCTCGGGGTCCAGGCCGTTCTGGCACATGGTGGTGTAGAAGTAACTCAGCTGTTGCAGGATGGAGGTCATGGTGTAGGCGTCCGTGTCGTCTACGCTGGAGGAGCGCTTCCGGAAGCCTGTGGGCTTCAGGCCGGAAATGCCCTGCAGGCTCTCGTACTCCAGCATGCCTGGCACTGCGGAGAGATGGGGAGGCTGTGCTGATACGCCAGGAGACACACACGGAACGT